GGACTAGCGAGGAGAAGCCATAAGAGACCTAGGGATCTTTTAATTTGTTTGTTTCTTCTTCCTCCCTTTGTTGCCTGGGCTAATTTTATTTCTGCACATCTACAAGGATTCCTGCACGCCTGCCATTTGTGAAATTTTGCATTTTCATGTTGGCAGGCTGGACATGGGCCAAGCACCTCTCACTTGCACAATGGCAGCAGACAATGTGCTTTGAATTTTCTCTGCACGCAAAGGTCAGTGACCCTTCCTCATTCACTTGCCTGTTTCCCTGCTACCCTGTAGCTCACAGATAAGTCATTGGCTGTTTTCTGCTGGCAGTTCTGCTTGTGTAAGAAACTTCTTTTGCATTTGATGCGAATTAAGGCTCATCAGTTCTGTCACATGAAGGTTGCCTCTAAAAAATTGGAGAAATTGGCAATGCTCTGCCCTTTTCTTCAGGGCTGTTAAAGGCTTTATCATGCACTCAGTTCATGGTTCCCCACTGAAATGCAAAGTTTTCAGCAGCAAGGACAGGCTGAGTGTCAGAAGCTCTTTAGTTCATGCCTGTGTTTTAGCCAGTAAATGTAACTGCCTGGATCACCTAGGGAACACTAATGGTTTTGACTGACCTCCATGGGGTTTCATCTAAAAGCACCTGAGCCAATTGCTTTGAACAAATATTTGAAATGAGATGTCTGCAGAGCATTTCTCTCAGCACAGAGGCACAAGCTGGCCCTCAGGAGGGGCAGCAAGGTGATGGGCTGCAGCTGCATGAAGCCTTCTGGGCAGGGATGGGCAGCATTGCCAAACACTTCTCACACCTGGTGTGCTGTAACCCAGGCTCCTCTGCAAAGAGCTGCAGAAACAGAAGCGGAGTCTGAGCAGAGCCCTAGTCCAGATGGCGACAGTTCCGTCCCACCAGACATTCTTGGTGTCCCTATGAGGTGACATTGACATTACTAAAGACCTGCTGCTTCCTAGTTGGGGTAGGGCTCACCCTTCACCTCACTGCTGGACTACACGTGCTGTGCCATTGCTCCTGCAGCGCAAAATGCCCCAGCTGATGGCTCATTGCTGTTCGAGGCTGCTCAAGCCATGCAGCCCTGGCTGCTGGATCTTTTGCTTGTGACATCCTTGGTTACTCTCCACAAGGGCTGAAGGCAAAAGGGCCTTTCTAGAGCCTGCAGCATTGGGATCCTGTTGGGGAGGAAGGATGAGAGGTGCCACTAAATAGAAAAAAATCATTAACAGGTGGCTCTTGTGAAAAGCTTCAGACTTCCTGCACAGCCTGCTGAAACTTCATTTTAACAAACAACAACAACCACCCATGAACTTGTTTTCCTGGCCCAAGAGGCTGGCATAGCAGGTGCTGACTTTGTGGCAGCCCTGAGGATCATCTCCCTGATGCTCCTACCTGTGAGCAGTCCAATGGGAACCAGCCCTGATCCCTTGGTTTCTGCAGCATGCTCCAGTGAGCACAGCTGCTACAGCAAACATGTACACCAATGCAGATCATGGCACATCTTTCACATCAAAAGAAATTTCCATTTACTCTTTTTAGCTCAGCCTTATTAATCACAGAGACATTTCCAAGCAAAATATGGATTTTCAGCAGAACACAGGCAAAAAGTTCATTCAGACAGAAGAAAGCACAGCTCAGCTGTGCTCATCAAACTTATTTTACCACATACAAGTCCAGATTCCTCTGTTTCATTTGTTATGTTTGCCTTCCCACATACTTTTCCTACATTTATCTCAGTTTACATTCTCTTCTCTCATGAACTGTCTTTCTTTCTTAAGAAAAACAAGAAACAAAATATTCTTCTGGTTTTCCTCTTTATCCCTTCCCATTTTGGTTTCCCAGTGGACTCTCTTGGGATATGTTCCAGACGTTTGGCTCTTTCCAAAACACTGGCAAATGTCAGGTAAGGTCAGTGCAGCACTGTCACCTTAAGGCTCCAGTCCTAGGTTGCTAATATGTGCCTCTTGCATGGGCAATAGACTCTGAGGTGTAAATGAATCACCACAATATTAATAAGGATTGTGCTACAATTAAAACCTGTTGGAAGAAAGAGCAGGAAGGTTGACAGGGAATGTGGTTAGAGGAGAGGAGTGTCTCTCTCTTTCCTTATGAAGTGGCCTATCTATGAGAGAGAGGATTTCATGGGCAGAAAATGGCATGGGGCACAGAAAACATCTCCATCCTACAGCCCCTTCTATCCTCCCAAAATTCTCCACTTTGCCCACACCTCCCCTTGTATCTGGCCTCTCCACTGACTTGGGAATAGCCACAATCCTTAGCACTGCCCTTTTGCTGGGAGAAAAATGACTTTTACTGTGGGAGGGTGCAAAAATGCAGGTTGACCCCTGTGCCTCGCAGCTCCTGCCATGTGCAGGGACTGCAGGCAGCACCGCAAGGCCAAAAGCAGAGGCAAGAGAGACCGGGCAAGGCAGCCCCGAGCTCGGCCCCTGCACAGGCAGCAGAGCAAGGCACTGGGGGAGTTACCACAGATGCCGTGGGGCTGTCACCTCCTGGTAATTTGGCCGTCATTAGGTGCTGCTCATAATGAGAAATCCTGATTTCACTGTGGTTCTGGTATGTTGTCCATAATTAGCGTGCAGTCCTTTAATACTAATTACCTTAGGTATTAGTTCCTTAAACATCAATTCAAAAATCACGTGAAAATTTACCTCTTCCTCAAATGAGTCATGAGTTAACACGGGGGTACTTACAATGCACTACTTAGACCTGCTTAATTAGTTAATCTCTGTAAAGGGGTTTCAAATGCATGAAGAGCTATCAAACTGCTAAGTGCATTATCTTCAATTAATTTTGTGCAACTACATCTTCACTACCAAGAGGGTCTTTAGAGTGCTGAGGAAAGGAAAAGGAGACATTGCTTCTAATTTTAAAAGTAACTAATACAGAAAAAAGGGAATTAATTGAAAGATGATTTGACATGATGGGAATAATTGTGAATACACCATTTCTTTTGTTTCAGCCAGAGCTGAATATGAAAGATTCATCATTTTTATGCCTCCTTTGCCTTTGTTAGTCTCTGGTTTCTTGGTTCCATCTCCTCTTGGCCTTAATGCTCTCACTGAATATTAACCCTCTCTCTTTCAAACTTGTTACTACTTTAGCAGAAAACCAACCAACACACAAAAAGATTAAAAAAGGGCAAATCACACCAAACCACTCTTCAAACTGAAGTCACTGAGGTTATACCCTCATACAAATGGTAAGGGATCTTGTTCCAAAAGAAGCATTGTGGACTTCCCTTCAGAAGAAGACACTGAAGGGCCAGAACAGAGCTCCTGCAAGAGAACAGGGCCACATCCAGCCCAGACACTCGTGTTCCCTGGATAACTGTGGTAGCCAGTAAGTTCTTACTGTGTCTTTCAAAGTTTTCTTTTCTTTATAAGCCTTGTTAAATATTCTCATTTTACTTCACCCATTAACAGCCTGCTTTTGGAGTTGTCTCAAAATAGGTTCTTTGTGCTAATACTCTGTCTAGCTGGCAGCTTTATTCAGGCCAGCTACATTGAATTTGCCTTCTCCAAGAACCTATTTCCTGGGTTCTTTTTCTTCCACTGGCACTAACAAAAGATAATAACTTTTTTTTTTTTTTTGGTTGCTGAGTCTGATTTGTGTTTAGAGGTTCTCACTTACCTATTCTTTCTTTTTCAGTAATGATTAATCATCACTTCTTGCTGACTGCTGAGGTCCCACGCATTGTGAGAAATTCAGGCAGCTTGTTTCACATCAATATGCCTGAACAGTGGTTATGCAGTTGAGTCCCCTTCACAGGGTTTGTGAAGGGGACAGGTAATGTGCATTTGCAAAAAACTTCTATCACATCTGGGCATTCCCTCAGCAGTTGTTTGAAAACCTATTAATTTACCTTATTTTATCCAAAAGAAACTGGAATAGAGAATAGACTATTAGATGGCTACAGCTTTATTCTCTGCATACTGTAGAATAACAGCTTAACCTGTTGGATGAGACATTTCTCTTGTGTACGTGGTGGTCCTCAGCACAGCAAGTTCTCAGGAAAGAACTTCTGCCACCAAACCAGAAAAACCTCTCCAAACCCTCTCCAGCTGAGTTCTACAAAAGGAACCAGTGAGGGATATTAATTGTTATCCAATCCGGTGGACACTAATTTAGATGAAGGGCCTGATCTGCTCTAACCAGGCTATCTAGCTGAAGTAGAAGTGAAGTAGGTACCTAAGAGAGCAGCTTGAAAATGGGTAAGTTGTTAGGGGGTACAGAAAGAAGAGCAGACCTACGAGAAGAAGCAAAGAAAGCTTCTTGCCCTCCCATCCCTTCACCACTTGCATGTTTGTACAAAAGCTTCCAATGTTCCTTCCCTTCACCTGGTACAACCATGCACTCCATACACACAGTGTGAGATGGGTAAGCCAGAAACTATTAAGAAAACAGTTGAACTAGAAGAAAGCCAGAAACTATTAAGAAAAGCCTAGATTGTCTAAACCTCAACCTAAAGCCCTACCTGAAGGATTAATGTGGTTTCCAAGGACCATTTAATTCACATGGGTGTCCCTCCTGCCTCTGACAGAAAGCTGGAATGGAGCCTGAAGAGACTATGACTGGTACCCTATCCAAAATGAAGGGATAGGGCTACCTGAATACTGAACCTGAAGTTAACCTGAAGCCTGACCTTCCTGAGGGGCATTTCCACAGAATAAACCTAATTGCAGGAGCTTATCAGTAGTTAGCCAAAGAGGTGACAGTGCAGGGAGGACCCAGCAAAATCTTAATGAACAGTCCAAGATTTTTGCTCCCTCCCCTTCATGACTGTAAAAAAAAGGGCTAAAAAATTTCTTCCTCAAAGGGTTCTCTTTCATACCAACATTTCAAAAGATCAATTGCCAATAAATTAAGACAAAACAAAACCCAATGTATGTCCTGGTGGCAAGGGAAGATGCACTTCTTCTCTGTCCCTGTCACGTCAGAAGAGCAGCTCCAGCAGAGCTCTCTGGGCCGTACTGTGCCCTCACAGCAGCACCGGTGTGACGTAGTTGGCAGGGAAGAGACCCAGTTCTCCACGCAGGCGTCCTTTCCACCAGGATGGGTTGGAGCTGTCCAGGACCTCTAAGATGTCCCCACTGCGGAAGCCCAGCTCATCGTGCTCCAGAGCATCAAAGTCGTACAAGGCACGGACCCACAGTGTTCGCTGGAAAGGAGAGAAGAGACAGGCAGGGAACAAGGAGCCAGGACTTTCAAAGATCATCTTGTCACCCCTCTAAAGACCCAGTAAATACATTCACTCAGCAAGGACAAGCAGCGCTGAATTTTAGACCAACTTGCAATTAAACCAGGAAGTGGCCAAGATGCCAGGAAGGAGGGACCAATTAACTGGGACACCTGAGGGACCGTGTTTGATTTCTCAGCAGCCTCAGTGTATTTGTGGGTATTTGCACCATAAGGTGAAAAGTCAGACTGAGAGCAGCTCCTTAGGAAATTGTGTTCTCATGGCTCTGCTGCCTCTGCCCTGTAAGGGCAGCCAGGACAGCACATCTGAAGCCAGTTTTGGGAGCACAGGAGTCCTACCTGAGACCTGCTGGGCTGTAACTATTAGGGAATGGCCCTAGGGAGCTGGCCTGCTGCTGGGACAGATATGAAAATGTGTCCTTGGCCATTTGAGAGAGAGCCAGCACACAGGCAAGAGTAGAGAACATTGTAAAGAAGGATAAAGAAGGATACTTGCTCTTTCGGGCACTTTGGGGCACAAGGGAGGGTGTTAAACCTTCTTCAGACTCTCCCCAAGGTCAGGTCCCTGAGATCCAAAGGATTTAGTGTCTGTTTGGGTATACCAGTTTATCTGGGGTGTGCACTATGGTTAGATTTTTTCTAAAGGACTTTGCAGTCAATCTCCCACTCTGGCCAGAAATCATATTTTAAAGGACATAGCTTGGGTTTCTTTCTGGGAAATTGCTGGCATCCATACCACCAGGCATGGATAATTTAGGAGGTATATCTGGCAGGGACAGATGGAGAGAACTGTTTGAAGGCAGACAAATTTTGATAAATCTTCTATTCAGGGCCCCGCTTAGACCTTGCCCCTAGTTATTTGGGTGGACATATAGAACTTCCTATAATTGGATTTGTGGCTTCTACATCACTGATGGGATGTGGCAGGCAAAAGCATGTTGTTATTCATTGCCACAGCTTCTGAGAGATAAAAACCATTGTATTATAAGCTGGATTACAATAAAGATTTGGGGCTTTTGCCAAGAAAAGGGGTATGCCCCTATTTTTTAACTTGTTCCAAATCTCCTAATCCAATCTGATTTTTTACGCTCATTCTTGAGAAAGGTCCACTGTCCTTCCCTTCTTTCCTTGGTTCCCTGGTTATGGGCTAAGCTGGACATTTCTTCAAGGAAGAGGAGCATCCTTAGGTCACACTGAGCTGATGGGGAAAGGCTTTGTAGCGGGCAGTGGAATCACAGAAAGACACCACATTCTGTGTGGGCATTCACACAGTGGGACTTGGCAGAGCAGGTGGTGACTGAAGGTCAGGTGCCAGGTTTGGATCCCGCAGGGGAGTGGTCTGGGGTGCCTGCAGAGACACATCTGGATCACACCCACATGCTAAGAGGCTCTGACAGCCAAGGGTGTCAGGTAGGTGAGTCCTGCTTCCACGGCAAAGGAGGTCTGAGAGATGTGCCAGGCACAGAGAAGTGGAGCAGGGTGATCTCAGGCCTTCTCAGGACTGCAGCAAAAATTAATGGAAGAGACAGTACGACTACAAGTGTATTGCAAGACAGGAGGAGCACTGGTACAGTACAGTGATACAGTGGTACAGTATCATGAGGCTGCTCTCCAAAGAACTTTAAAAATGTACTGCACATTTAGCTACTGACATTAGTCACTGCCTGGCTGTGGTGGCAAAGATAATTGAAAGCCCTGTGCATTAATGGACATGAAGTTCTACTAGAGGAGATCATTAGGCTTTCAGAAATGTCTTCCACTGGACTGGTCTTGTGCTTGATCAAAATCCATGGGTGAGCTTGTGCTCATTCCAATGTCCCAGATGGGGATTGTCCCTATTTTGCTGAGCTCATGCTAAATTCCCTCCCACTGAGGCTGCATAAGACTGACCTTGAGAGCAGTTACCAGAACTATGCTCACATAACACTGTAGTCCTACCCTCAGAGTGTCCCAGCAGCAGATTCAAGTGGCTGGGATAGAATCTTGAGACTCAGAAATCTCTTGTAAGACATGGACTGGCAGGCAAAATACACTACTTCTAATGCAACCTCCATGTAGGTGACACTGTCCAGACTGCTTGGCCATTGCTAAGGGACCCAGATTTGGGCAGATGAGGCCCTCCAGGTACATCACCTACGGGTGTCTGCTGGTGCAGTGGGTCTGTGTGTCTCCGTTGCATAGCTCCTGCGCTTCCTTGGCCATGGTCCCTTGGTCTGTGCATCATGTCTTTCCTGTCCAGACTCCCACCATATCTTTCCTAGAAAGAAAACAGCAGCAGAAAATTCATGTTGTTGTGGTTTTGGCTGGAGTAGAGTTAATTTTCTTTGTAATAGCTGTGTTTTGGATTTAGTATGTGAATACTGCTGATAATACACTAATGTTTCAGTTGTTGCTAAGTAGTGGCTCACTCTAAATCGAGGACTTCTCAGTGTCTGGCCAAAGGGATATTCCATACTCTAGAACATCATACCCAGTAAATAAACTGAGGGAAATTGACCAGAAGAGACTAATAACTGGTAAGGGACTGGCATCAGCCAGTGGGTGATGAGCAATTGTATTGTGCATCGCTTCTTTTTCTTGAGTTTTATTCCTCTCTCTCTCTTTTTGTTATTTCCTTTTAATTAAATATAAAATAATAATAACAACTATTATTATTATTATTATTATTACTACTACTATTTACTCTATTTCAATTATTAATCTGTTCTTATCTCAACCGGAGTTTTTCCTTTTTCCTGATTCTTTCCCTACTCCCACCATGGGGAGGAGGAGTGATTGAGTGGCTGCATGGTACTTAGTTGCCAGCTGAGATTAAACCACGACACAAATATATTTTGAGATGTATAAATGAGGGGATTTAAGAGTCGTTAGTGGGCAAGGAGTCAGGGGCAAGCCCACACATTAATAATTTTAGATGTCTGCTTCCAATAAAGTCCCTGTGCTCTAGTTCTGCAAGTAATGACCCTCATGGAAGAGGTCAGCTTAGACTGTTCTATTTTGGGTTTTACTTCTTAAGAGTTGAAAGCTGACTCTCCTTGGCTGTGTTTCACAGCTGCTGGGACAAATGGTCTGAGAGGGGCTTTTTTGGTCTCTGAGACTTTTGGAGAAAAACTGAGGTTGTTCTAAGTCACAGATAAAAACCATGCTTGCCAAGGGGACTTCAGCCAATCTGGAGTTATTATGACCCAGTCCTGCCCACTCCTTGCTCTTCCTCTGCCCCATACGCTGGGGGAACATCAGTCGTGCTGGTGCAGCTGACTGTATCTGAGAACTCACTACTTTACCTTGTCTTGGGATGCTCCATACTGTAAAGGACAGGAAGCAGGCTGATACATCTAGTAGCCAAATTAGCCAAAGAAGAATGAGACAAAATCAAGAAAAGGAGCCATATGACCACACATCTTAGTCATTCCAACACAAATTGGCCCAGGCAGATAGAGAGAAGAAGCAGGAAACATCTAGGAAACAAGTTCTCTTTTGTGTGCACAGCTGAGAGATGCAGATTTTTGACAAAATGACTGCTCAATCACTAACAAGCAGTAAAAGCCAATGTTTCATATGCTGGGGCTTGATGTCCTAGCCCCTTGTTTCTGGCAGTACCTGTTGCTGCTGCAGTATGGGAACAGGATGCTCTACATATCTCTTGGATACAGAAGAATGATCTTCTCCAGCTGCTCCTCCCATGTGGAATCCTTCCCGACCTACCCGTTCCAGGCTCCCACCACGCCTCTCCTGAAGGAAGAAAGATCACAAAAGTGAGGTCAGGTTTTGCTTCCTACCACATCCTTGACTAAAGCTGTGCAATCATTGCACACTTAGCACTACCACTGTCCACTACTCTGGAGGCTCTTTCACATAAAAGACCCCACCTCTGTGAACAGAAGAACAAATCAGGAATCCTGTATTTTAGATCTTTGTCATAGCCACTCTCTATCTGAAGTCAGGGTAGTACTGGGCAGTGCTGGGCTGAAAATATGGCTGCTGATGTGAGGATCAGCACAGGAGCCAAGCTCTTTCTTGAAATACTGCCCTTAGAATTCATTTGTCTCTGCACTAAAATCTATATATTATAATCATTTTATCATATGGCTGTAGCATCTAAAAATTTTAATTGTGAACAGAAACCCCACTGTGATGAGTGCTAAACATACTCTGCTGTGCCCATCACCATAACAAATATACAGAGAGTTTGCCAAAGCAAACTTCAGTTCTGTTCTTTCATTTGCCTGTCTGCATCTTGGAGCAAATGCATCTTTCCCTTCCTGCTCATAGTCAGCCCAAACTGGTTGTTATACTGATATACATGCATACAGTCTTTCTTTCCTTTCCCAGACACAGAGATTCATCACTGTGATCTCTCTCTTACAGATCCCAGAGCCTCTATTTTAATACTTTACTAGTGTGTTTTTAAAGTTCTGTGGAAGTGGTCTAGAAAGAGACAACAACCCAGGCCCATTCTTCAGACTGAAAATGTATCATCTCTCATTTTGAGGCAGCAAGAATGACCCACATGCAGCCTATAAAACTTTACTGCTGTAGTCAGCAGGTCATGTACTTTCTGCCTTGCCTCTACTTGCACATCCTGGTAATTTAATACCACAGTCCGTTTCCCAGCAAAGCAGGACTTTGGTTGCTGCAGTGACCAGGCATGTTCACTCCCAGTACAGGGAGTGCAAGGTGTAGCAGCCTCTGCTATGTCATTTGCTTGTTCCCCTGGCACAAAACCAGGCATTCATTGGACTGGGGTTTGTCTGCCTTCTCAAACATTGGCTATACCTTCCCTGAAGGCATATCTTGTTCCCAGATCTCCTGTGTTCTTGGTAGTACTTTCCAGTTCCTAACAGCCAGGTTAACTTCTCCAGGTTCTGCCCTCCGCTCCTCCACATTCCTTTTACTGTGTTTGCTCAGTAGCAGAAGATGGACAATTCTTCTGAGCAGACAAACTTGCAGGTGTAGTTGCACTCTGGGTGCATGCAAGAATACAATACTAAGAAACCAGACTCAAATTCTTCTCAGTCACAACCCACCAGTCAGCTCTGTACCTGCCCTTAGGAAATCTAGGCATTTCAGTAAGGTAAGTCTTGATTCCCCTGGCATCTTAGAATATCAGCTCTGAGGTTTTAGCACAGGTTTAGCAAAGCACCTCTAAATCAAAAAATTAAAGAATCGAAAAACTAAGAATCTGTGTCTCAGGCCCCACCAGTGTGGTTATGTGGTTGGGTTTCCAGGGACAGACTGTCCTCCTCCTTACTTGAGACATTCTCATGGGATGAACTCCTTCCACAGAAAGGTTTCTGACTGAGAAAGGTTTCTGACTGAATCCTAAGGACAGTTTGTGTTTACCTTTTCTTCTTGGCTGTTGTCCCTTAGGAAGATCTGCTTCTGCCTGGAGATTGAAGTTGTCTTGTAGTAGTTCACCAGCTTGTTTAGAGAGTGGAATTTCTCTGTCCACAAGTAATAGCTACCCTTTGAATCCCTCATCACTTTGAAGTGTTGCACATCATCTTCATGCCTGGATCCCAATGGAAAAGAGATCATCAACAGATCGCACTTTTACCTTTTTCGGAAAAGTCTTTTCCAGAAGGGTATCAAAACTTCTTGCTTGGCTAAATCTAGACTTCTCGAAAGTCATGCAATGGCAGTCCTTGTGTGTACTGGACCCAGATGTGGCTCTGTTTCAAAAGACTCATCGATTTACAAACAGAGAGTGCCCCAGGGCTGCCCAGTCACAAAGCACTATCAGAACAAAGCATAGGGTTTTAAACCCTCTATTTTGAAATAAAGGTCACAGGACCTTCCAGGGTGAAAAAGTGCAGTTGTTGCCTACCCAACAGCCTCTGCAGGTCCTGTTAACATCCAGTCTGCATTGACTATAGGACCTGTATTACACCTTTGCACACCATGGGGATCACCACTACATGCAGACAGAGACATGTGAAGCCATACACTAAGCTTTAAGATGGTATAAAATCTAGTGTAACATCATTACTACAGGTCATTCTCCCTATCCAAAAAGAAAAAAAAAAGACATTTTCTGTTGCTGTTGCAAGCCAAATTAACAATCTCAACCTTCTGTCCCTTATTCCCTCTGTACCTCCCCTCCTCTCACCTCTTGTCTGATGTGTATAATTCCTCTCTGCACCAGATGTGATCTGGCTTTGGTACCCACCTCCTTGCTCTGTGCAACTCCAGGGGCCCAAAACTCCAGGCTCTTCTCAGAGGCTACATCTGCACAAATAAACTTAATGGGAACAGGCAGGGACTGAATGCTTCCCTTGACTGCTACAGCCCCAAGCTGTTGGAGTGTTAGCATGGCTGTGGTTTAAATGGAAAAGCTCTCCCTTAGATAGTGCTGGGCCATGGTTAGAAAGAACAGGCCAGGAACTGTTCACAGGGAGCTGCTTGAATACAGCTCTTGTGTTTGGTGGGGTGAAGAGGGTGCAGCCATACAGATCTGACCTCTGCCTCACTGCTCGACTTCAGGCCAGAGAAAGAGCCTGACTGTACTTGATTTGCTAGTGTTAATTGGTGCAAATGTAACCAGAATGTTTTCCTGCATTCCTCCTGGATACTTTTTGAGCTGCCTGAATCAGCAAGTACGCACTACTTGGAAAAGACTAATCATGACTTGTTAATCATGATGCTAATTTAAAACTGGTTATCAACCATTTGACTGAAAATTGGGAAACCAAACATCATTTAAGAGCTCTGCTTAGAAGCAAATGCACTGAGAAGTGCTGGGCTACAGCAAGCTGCTGAAATGCAGCTGGGCTGCAAGCAATGAAAAACCAGTCCTTGTCCAATGGCTGTTTAGTGACCTGTGGGAAATAAGTTAACAATGTAATAGTAATCTCTTCATAGCTAGTAGCTGAATTCTTGGATTTGGTAACCAGAGCTGTCAGGGAATTAAAACAAATGGAAGACACATGTTAAGCACAGTGGGAGACTTTCCGTGTACCATTCTGCTTTGCTGCAGCTCTTTCAAAGAAGGAGGTCACCAGGGGATGCAGCTTTGGAATGGGGCATTCACTGTGTCACTTGAAAAGAGGCAGAAACATTTGGGAATCAGATGCCTAATTTGTTCTCATTCACAACACAGCAGCACCACCAGTGACTGGCAGCATGCAAACTTCTCACGAGCCTACATGACATTAGGAATCCTTTTGAGAGGAGGCTAGGGACACCATTAAACAGGAGAAGAAGCAGGAATATGCTGTTAGAAGCAGATACCTGACAGAGATGGAGAAGTCTCCATGAGAGTTCTGACTGGCTCGGACGATGAAGCAGCCGACTCCTTTGCTCATGAGAAGGTTCTCTGCTTCGTGGCGGGATATCTTCTCATCAAACCAGCTGTCAAGTGGGAAAAATCATGGAGATGTGAATAAGGATGTTAATTAAGGTGAGGAATAAAAAAGTTGAGGGTAGGGAGAATGTGAATAAGCAGGGTGGAGGGAAGAAAACAAAAGGATCAGAGGAGCCCACATGGCTCCTCCCAGGGGCCACGTATATGCTGAGGTACAGGGGTTTGATGGATGCAGACCATTTTCTTTGAGTAGTAAAAGCATGTACATGCAAAGAGAACAATGTAAGCTTTGGTCTGCTAAGAAGCAACACTCAGCCGAAACTGTAATTACAGACACAGTACAATAAGGTGTTAGTCAAAGAAATTTTAAATGACAAATGTGTATGTATACATGTATACACACATAATTCTCAGACACATACATCAAATTCCTTTTTGGCAAACTGATTGAAAATTACTGGGCTGTGATGGATATATTGCATGGAACACACATAAATTTTTAGTAGAAGCAAGCCATGAAAGTTTTACTACTAATAAATTGGTTCCTGCAAGAGTTGCAATATCACAAAATCACAGAAGCACAGCATACATAAGCACACTTACACAAATCTAGCCAGGCATAACAAACAACAGCTTCAGGCACTGGACTAATAATGAGAAAGTCACCATAAATAGTGAAAGAATATGATGTCAGTAGGAATTTTTCAGTAGAGAAACACAAAATTGCATACATTTGCACGTGTCCACTCCATAGCTAATAAGATCTACAATCTGCAGGCTTTGACTTCATCCAATATGTAATTGCCTGTATTGCATTAAGATTAAGGACGGTTAAATTCCTAACATCTGTAATTTCTGCTTTGGAATTCCTTATTATCATCACAGTTTACCTATGTATCACTAGCAAAGAAAAATCAGATGAGCCTTGATAGCCAATCTCAATGATTACTTAACACGAAAAAGATGGGCAAAAACAATCCATCAAAAATAGGAGGCAGCTTTCTTCCCTACGTCTAGTTTTGTCATCTGGCCTGAACTGCTTCAAAGTGCAGACCTGGTGCTTAGAAAAGTGTCAAAGTGAAAATATTTCTTCGTAGCTCTTGCACAGAGAAAGCAACACGAGAAAAATTTGTGCGAAAAAAGAAGCTGCCAGTGCTCCCGAGTGATGGCACAGCCCTGTGAAACAGTGAACAAGAACAACCGACTGGAAGATCTCAACCCCCTGAGGCCCAAAAGTACAAGTCCGTATTTGCATGGCAAACGAATAATGTCCTTCAGCTCAGCCAAGCAGGACGGCTTATGTCCAAAAAGGCCAGGAAGTGCCACCTCCAAAGGGGACAGAGGCGCTTACTTGTAACCTCAAAATCCCTGCGTGCTCCCAGTATGACTGCTCAGGGCACCAGTGCGTTACAGCCATGAGCGCTGCGCTTGGTGCATGCCCTGCTTGTTCACCCCCGACATGCTGCAGCACTTCTGAAAAAAGAGGACAATGAGAGGTGCTCCTGGGAGCATTTCTGCTAACTGAAAGGTCATAAAAATCCCATGCACTGTCATATTTATGGCACAGGGCTGGAGAGCACATTTAACATGCATTCCAACACGCATCACTCCTTTCTGAAAGTGCAGTTCCACCTCCCCAGCGGGAAGAGAGAAATGCAGGTACGCCTGTGCCCTGACAGATGTGTTTGAGTGTGGCAGGGAGCAGGTCTGCTCCGTCAGGAACAGAGTAACACCAGCTGCCACAGCGGCGCAGCATCGCACTGACCCCTAGTGCACCGACACGAACTCACAGCGCTCCGCGGGGAGGGAATGCGGCGGCAGGCTGGCAAAAGGGAGGCAGCGTCCTTAAGAGTCGAAGGGGCGGACATTTTTTTTTATAATTAATTTTCAGAAAGATCTCTTGCTCTTCCTTTTGTGCTTAGCCTCTGTCTCTGTTCCCAAGACTTCACATCATGACTATTCTTCCTCTCTCTGAGGACATCTAAATGCAATTCCTGGCACATCCCAGCATCCCTCTGCGCAGCAGTAACAAAAGAGTCACTTGGGACTGACAGCGATCATCGAGATCCATTTAGCTCCGAAAGAGCAGAGGATGCTTTGGGCTAGATATACGCTGTGCTGGCAGAGCCGTGTGTAGCATGTGTGGCAATCCCGGCCAGCCCAAAATGTAGAATGTTATGCCCAGCACTTCTCCTGTCCTGTCCTCTGTGCGTGGTCCTGACAGCACCCGGTGGAAATGTGCCGTGGTGGTGACACCATTTCTGTCACACTTACGGGGGAACATGGAAATCAATGAAGTTCTTGGGAACGTAGCCCTCGTGACTTCTGAGCTCAGCCTTGTACCACTCTTCCTGGGAGCTCAAAACCTGCAATGGAGAAATGGATGGAATAAATGCGTCTCCCGAGACAGGCAAAAGTAGCCAAGATTCAGGAAGAAACCTAGAACGTCTTGTAAGAATAAAAGAAAATGTTACACATTGTATTCTCCCCACCCATGGTGCAACAAGGTTAGTGGCTGATGACTACTTCAGAGCAAGCAAGCAATAAAAGCCCAAGCAGAATTAGAGAGATGGCTTGTTAACTCTGCCCCTTTGTCTGACTGCCTATCCATGTATCTCTGACACCTGTGAAATGGAGAAATTCAGCTTTGAAAGACTTAGTAGGGGTTTAATTTCTTCTCTGTGCTGCCTTTTGTAGTTGGTACTGGAGCATCTCAGATTCACAAGGGAAGAAGAAAATATCTGTGAAAACCCCTCTGACATATGGGTATGGAGGGATATGCAGCTGTGTCTCTGTGTGTTATGGATGCACAGATGTTACCATGTCATTTCACAAGAGATTCTTTAGTGGGTTAAGTCTTCAGCTGCCCTGAGCTTTGCCAAGGTATAAAATATAAGAAGGAGGTAAAAAGTGTTTTCAAGACACTGTTACACTTAGGAGATCGTGGGATAGCTAGAAGTGAGTCCACATCACCCACTGGAGCAGCTTCACATTAAGTGTGCTCACATTAACGTTGACTGTATTGGTCCAAGGAAACATCACTGCTGACCAGGGAGGGCCCAAATTCATGACAGCCTGGCTGGTGGCCCAAGATACAGCCCTAAGCTAGAGGAGAGAGGACAGGAATACAACCACATTGGGATTTTACTGCAGATGTTGTGGTCTTTGGTGTTTTGTTTGACATTCCAGCTCCTGGGACAGGATTCTGCTGTATGAAATAGACCATGTTTCTGCTCTTTCTGGTTTTGGAGAGGAACCTAAAAGCATGAGCCATGACAGTTTTAAAAGGAAAAAGCCAGTGGAAAAGACTTAATTTAAAATCTATTGTTAACAGTAATAATACTTTGTGAGCCAGTCTCATGGTTTTGGGAGCCTAAGGCACATTTTAACTGCTTTGAATTGGCAACAGGATGTTACTGTCTCTGGAGTCAATTCTTCATTGCCTTCCCTGCCACGTAGGCCTTTTTCAAACATTTCGATTCAGAAAAGTTAAGGAACAGAAAGCTGTGAATTCCCTACTTGTATAGTCACTGCTGTCCTCATGCCTGGGTACTGGGTTAAGGATCTTTTGTCACTGCTGTGGCCAAACACGGGGGATGATAGCCACTTCCTGCTCATGCTCTCTTGGAAGTGAGGTTTCCAGAAGAACCCAGCAGCTGTTTGCCACTGCAGAGCTGGCACGTTTCTCTCAGTGTGTCATCCTCTCAGAGAAGGATGTAGGGGGGGTAAGAGGGTGAATTTCCTCCTGTCACTACTGGCTGAGGGCCTCATGTTTCCTGTTTTGTAATCGCTACATCAATACTCCACCTTATCTCCTTCATAAATCAGCAGGTTGTTGCAGGCAGCACGAGGGGGCTCATGATGGGGTAGGAATGTGTGTGTGCCTGTGCCAGAACAGAGCTGTTACTCAGGCTGATTTACTGCTACTACGGCTTGGGAGGCTAAGGTGTTGTTTTGTTCACCTCAGGGACATTAAAGCAAGAGGCAGTTTGATTTTTCTGGTAGTGAATTCTCTATGACAACTAATAATAATAAAACTGGTGTGTAGTGTTGACACTTTTTATCAGGAGATTCCAGCATACTTGGAAAGGAAACTCTAGCTTATAAAGATTCTATAGGAAGGGAAACTGAGGAACAGAAAGAAAAGTGATCTGGCCAACACCATCACCCCAGCAGGGACTTGATGGAAGTCTCCTGAGAAAAAAGGCATCAGTAAAGATTACGTGATAGTAGGGACTCACTGGGGAAGAATAAGAGTGTTTATCTGTGCTGAAGAGAGGCAGTGATTTCTCCAGAACCTTCTCACAGGTTCTGAGCTCTGGATGCTATCAGCTTTGTCTAAATGCCAAGAATGAAAAGGCCAATAAAATAAAAAATGGTGGTGATGGAAAAGCCAAAGCTGAGACTCAATATCTGATTATTAGCTGGAATATCTGTGACTGCACAGAGAGGTAGCAAAGGCTTCTCGCCAAACAGGGCTGTACATCCTATCGTTGTACATCATCCCTTTGGACAGTAAAGGAGCTAAGGACTGAGAGAGGGGTAATACTCAGGCATTTGCAATGGAAACACAGCATCTGGGGCTGAGAAGTGGATAAATAATTAGAGTGAAACTTAATGTGGCTTCATCTGTAGGACTTTGGTAAGGTTAAAAAGAATTGTTCTATCATAACACATACAAATCAACTTTAGAGACTTCCAGAAGCTCTGTATTGTATATGATGAACTCTACTTCTGCCACTGCCCCATTGTTAAATTCCTGCAAGGGTGTGTATAATGTTATTAAACCAGGACGTCTTAAACTATTCCACTATGTGTATAACAGTCTGTCTCATGGGATTTTCCTCTTCTATTTCCAATTGCCTAAGATCCCTGCAGCATCTAACAAGAATTACTAACAGTGAAAAGTTAGATATAAATTCTAGAATGGATGAGTTATCTTTTAAACAGTTCGAAGACTGGAAATAAGGAAGACAGCAAACCCACTGGACAGAACTGGTCCTGCCTGCGTTTAGACATAGTCAGCATAACGTAGTCACTGGGGATAGTTCACCTGCTCAATGAAAACAGTCAGGACCCTCAAAATCTGTCACCAAAGATCTTGATCTGTGCCCCAGCAAAGGTACATACTCTTTCCTGCTGATTACTGGAGGACTGCAGGGCAACTAAATCCACAGTTCATGGACATAAAATCAAGAAAAGTGGCCACAGACTCAAGCAACCTGGGAATTGTTGTCCTATTGCAAACCCTATGGGAGAGGATTATCCTGCATTTTTATCCTAGTTTATAGATGTGTCTTCATCTGTTTTGCCAAGGCAAATGGAAGCACAAGAAAGCTCTGGAAGCAATCTCAGAGACGCTGTTTAGTCAAGCTGGGGACTGTACTTACCTTCAACACATCCCCAGCCTGGAAGCTCAACTCGTCTTCTCCTGAAGCCGTGAAATCAAACTTGGCAATGGCTTCCATACCGTGTCCTGAGGGAAAGCAAATCTGGAAGAGGTAATGTCAGATGTCTGTCAGCACCTATGAGCTACTGGGATTGTGGAGTCCAGCCTCTGGAAAGCTGACAGGCAGTGCTGGGATTTGTATGTGGAGAAGCACTCACCACCTATGGACAGCCATTAGTTACTAGACTTGGAAAGACATGAGCAGGTGGAAGAGAGGGCATGACTGAGGCTGTCAGTAGCTGAAGTCAGAAGTACAAATAACCAATAGTGTATGCTTACTCCAACAGATCTCTTTCTCTAGAGCAATCTCATGGGAAAAACACGTGTAGACCAACTCTGTCACAGTTCCCAATAAAACAAGTGACTCTGTCCTGCAACAAAAAAATGCATTTGCCCCCTACAGTGACTTACTCTTTGCCTCAAGAGTGAGTCAAATTGCAGACAAAACAAACAGGGCTGCAATAAATATATTTTTTGGACACCGGCCACAATATGGAAGGTTCAAAGAGTCTTTTATTTGTGATGGCTTAACATGGATGACCACAACTTTCAGGTAGGAAAACACTGTTTGCAGAAAGGCTGTATTCCCTATTTTGAAGGTGGCAGAGAGTTAGCCTACCTCAGTGTCGGTAACCCAGGAGCCTGAAATGTATCAGCCAGCCTGCGAACCAAAGCCTGCTTTTTGGCACCAGAGCAATGTGGCAGGGGAAGTGGCAAGATGGGCTTTGCTCCTTCACCACTTCCTGCTCACGTAACTCGGATGTACCCCAGCAGGACCATTTTTATAATCAAGAGTTACCAATTTCCCATGGCTGGGTCAGGTACCCCACAGCCCAGTGGCAAGGCTGCCACTGACAAGCCAAGAAATAGCCAGGCAGTGCCACCTTAAACAAGAGCGCTGCTGGCAGATGTACTTGCAGCACAGCTTCTGAAGACCATCAGACAGCTGCAGTATAGAGGTAATTTTTGTGATTTCTAAGCTAGGTTTGTCTGGGAACGAAGATCCTGAGGCCACAGGTTCCACTACCCAATCTCAATTCTCACAAAAACATCCAGTCTTTATGGCTTGAGAGGAAGTGCCAGTTTGTCTGATCCAAAACATTCTTAACCAGAAAGCTCTAGAAAGACACTGTACAAACAAATGAGAAACACTAATTAGAGTTAGATATTTCTTATCAAGTAGAACTGACACAAGATCCCCAAAATATAAAGTGTTGATACTGAGCAAGCTCCAGAATTTTGCCACTTCAAAAATCAAAAGACTGCTGTAGCCCTCCTTCTCGGCAACACATGCTGTAATGTTCCTCCTCTGACACACAACCCAGGGATTTATCTAGCTGTGTAAGCAGAATCCAGGGCCCAGCTCTGATACAGCTCAGCTTAAACTGCTGAGAATGAGCTGGGAGAAAGCCTGCAGGGCAAAAGCTCCAGGACTGCACCAGCATTAGCCCAGAGATTCCAGAGGAAAACCACCAACATGGGAAGATATAAATTGTCAGAGGAAAAACAAACCCATAGTTCAGTTGTGATAGTCATTCTAGCTGAGTACCTGTCATGAATCATTTGGGTCACTGAGCTGAGTTGTCAGTGCCACCAGGCCTGACCTAGCTGGTGGCAGATGGCAACCATGGAGGGTGACTCTTCATTTCTGACTGAGACCTGCAAAGAATCTTTAGGTACCTTTACACAGGTGAGGAGTATGGTAACGTGCAGCCTAGTATTTCCTTAAGTCTGAACTAGGTTCTGTGTGTGTTAACTGTGTACAGCAGTTATTTATTGACTAAACTGTCTATTTCCTGCTTGCAGAGTCCCTTTGCACTTGAGTAAAGATCCCTGAAAAAAGTGATTCACAAGAGGGACGATAACATCACTGGATATCAGTCCTGAGAGTTGAGATTTGTTACGATCACTTCTAACTAAAAAAAATATATTGATGTGCTTCCTAGTGGATTATGTTAGCACTGTCTTTTTTGCTGCTTATAGGTGAATTTATATCCATGTGACTGACGAGAGCTATGAAGCACCAAGGCAAATTTTTTGGCAGTCCACAGAGAGTTCTGCTTATTCAGCATGGATCTGTTCTAGAGTAATTGGGGTTGTTTCAGTGCCAGGGGCTCCCAGGTAGGTCTGAGTAGTAGCTCAGCTGAGATCTGCCCTACTCCTGCTCCTCCCGCCTGCTGCCTTGGGCTTCCAACACACAGCAGTGCTGAGCCCTAACACCCTAAGGCACATCGGTGCTTTGCTCTCAGGCTTCAGCTTTCCACCTACTCCAAACATTTTCACCCCCTATTCTCCCTGTTGACCTACTAATGCTCTTTAATTCTTACTTTTCATACTTTTTGCAGATTAGGGTCAGCCGCTGTCTTACTCTTAATCCAAGACATTGGTGTAACCCTGCAGGTGCAGCTTGGGCCTGATTTGAGAACTGTCCTCTATTCTTGCACAGATATTTTTGGAGCTTCAGCCTGTAGCCCTCCACAGGCAGTGTCAGCTCCGTTGTGTGCTAACAGAGCATGGGCTATTAAACTGGAGGGGAATTAACCCTTAAGGGAACTGGTTAAACAATGATAGTCTTTCATGGAAGACAATTGAAGACTAAAGGAGAATTATTTCAGCAAGGATTGTTTTTCAGTGTTTTGTCTTGCAGTGGGGGCCTGCTGCAGAGAGATCAGAGCCAACAGTGCAGGTGGATTCTGGAACTCCTAAGTGCAGACCATTAATCCCAGCTTGAGGAAAAGAACTCACTTAAAAACAATTTAAATGCAAGCTATTTAAATACAAATCCTGTCTTTGATTCTGTCCCTTAGATACAGAAGAAGTAGTGAGGTTTCTCTCTACAGGGGTAAGAGAGCAGAAAAACTTTTATTTTTCAATAATCCAAATGTTAAAGGTGCTATTGGAATGTGGCCCCCTCCAAAGGAGAAGAGTTTGTGAAACAGTTAAAATCTCCCCTCTCATTTCCTTTCCAATTTCAGCAATCCCAGCCTCAGGGAGAGACCAGGAGAGAGATACCTCTTCAAACAATCTAACACATGGATTAAATATGCCTTTCATTGCCAGCGGCTGGATTTAGAAGTGGCTCAAACAGCATCCACAGTGTTGGCTGTGTTGATAAATCAGCAATGCAGTAATGCTCTGGCCTTAAGCTCTTCCCCAACCAACTACTAAAGCAACACTAGCCAATAATCCTGTCTTTGAACTCCAGCCTACCACTTTTCAGCGCCTGAACTTCAAACCAGTTCTGTTTTTCTGATCCTGTTCCTCCCTCCATGTGTAACTTGAGAATCCCCACTCCACATGGGTCGGTGCTGGGCTCTCATGAAAACTCTCCTGCCAGCAGCCCATTCTTTCCCTCTCTGCATGTGTGTGACTCCCAGCACCACCCCACAACACAGACAGACAGGAAATTTTTCACTATTATCATAACTTACATTTCTCAAGCACCTTTTATCCCAAATTCTGCTTTTAACTGCATGGTGCAACTCCTTTACGCTTTTGATAGCCAAGGACAATTTTAGACTGTGCTTAATATTCTCTGTGAAAATCACCTTTGTAGAGAGTTTAGCATGAAACATATGTAATGTTCAAAGAGGGATTTTTCAGTTCCAAGTGTGAGCTGACCAGTGCCCTTCATTTTGTGCTGGCTTTCTGCACACAGGTGAATTTTCTCTGTGATTCACCTTTGTAACTGGGTGGATTCAAGAAGCATAAGGCTACAGCACTTCTGTGGGACTGGTGCAACAGAAGGTTCACAAAATGAAAAGTGAAAAGCAGCCTGGCTTCCAGAGCACAAGGTAGGCATTTTAGTTTGGCGGAATGCCATTCCCTGAGCAAGAACATCAGTGTCTCTGTTGATGAAAAGGTCTAAAACATGTCAGCAAGCAATACAGCCTGACAGCAGAGTCCCAAAGAGTTTAACACCATTACCCTACACCATGCTGGTTCCAAATTCAGCAGAACAATGCCAGGGAAGGTCACCACCTATGAAGAGTTTGCCACTCGGGGACTGCCCAGCTTCAGCCTTTCCCAATTTCACCTACTTACATCAGAAGGAGAGCAAAATTACAACAATGCACTCACTTAATGGAACCATATGCAAAAAGTTTCTATTTATATGTCTGTAGCATAAAAAATGGCACACATCTCCATCCTGAAGCTTCATCCAGAGAGTTTTTGCACCAACATATACAGCACGAGCTATCGCGTCTTTGTTCGGCTCTGCCAGAACAACCTATTGGACTGATGAGCAGCCAGGGACAGGATTCAGCCCTGAGCATCTGTACAGGAACTCCAGATGACATTTCAGCAGAAACAATGGAGAAGGGACCTGTAATCTAGAAGAGCTGTTGCAGATAACAGCTTTGTTTTCACCGGCTAAGCCACATACAAGTGGCATGGGAATATTTAGCTCCAAAAACACAAACCTCTTGCTACTGAGTTAACGGTGCAGCTTCACTGACTGTCAGTGATAAGAGGGTAAAATTTATAACGGAGAGCAAGTCACTAAAACACTCAGTGAAATGATGCATTTAAGTCTTGGCTATTCTACCACACAGAGCAATGCATAGCATTTTGGGCTGAGCCTATGTGCAAACAAAATAAACCTCCTAGGAACTGGATTCACAGAACAAACAAACTTTCAGGACTCTATAACCAACAGCAGTTGGTAAGAAATGCCCTAAACTAGGATGGGGCTCAATTTCCCTAGGGAACCCAGGTCTTCTGTGCTCCTTCCCATCACGTCAGAGTAGAGTTGTGCAGCGACATGGGAAGCTGGTGCAACGACAGGTTCAAAGAGAGAAGCACCTGATACAGTACCGGGTATGATATCACAGCATGATGCTGCGACAGTATAAAATCCCAAATCTTTGCTGTGCTGGAAGGGTTGGCGTGGGGGGACTGGGGTGGTGGGGAAACACTTCCTTCTGTTCACCTACCTCCTCCCTCACATCCCAGCTGGTCAGATTTGGCAGAGTTGGAGGGATTTGCTCTGATGTGCAAGCCGATAAACAAGATGGC